CACCGAGTGAAGGGTGTGGGTTCTCTTTGAAGCAGTCATTGTGGGAAGCACGGTCTATATCCACAGGGAGGTGTGATGGCCCTTCTGGGACAATGTAGGGTGTCTGGCATCCCCTTTTGGCTACTAATAGTTTAGGACATCCCAACTCTTGACCACCCCAAGATATGACACGATATATCCCATCTGGAAAAGTACAGGGTAAGGGCCACCCCCAAATTCCCCACTTTCAGCCAAGGGAGATAGGGATGTCTTTTGATGGGCAGTGGTGAGTCTGAGTTATTTCTCTGAGACAATGAAGATTGTGACATGTCCTCTGAGGGGGTGGGTTTGTGAGATGATGGAGATGACCCTGTTAGAAGACTGATTTCCTTTCTGATCAATGGAGGGGACAGCAAGGGATGTGAGAGACCCCACACGATGTGATGAGGTGGGATGGGACATCCCCTCCACTGCCCCAAGATCTTTGAGTTCTCTTTCTGGACTAATGAGATGTGATATAATGCAGTTGTCAGGAATGGAAGCAACCAACCTTCGAATTCCATATAACTGCCAGGCACGGTGGCTCACACCTGTCATCCCAGCACTTTGGGAGGCTGAGGCGGGCGGGTCACCTGAGGTCGGGAGTTTTAGGCCAACCTGACCAACATGGTCTCTACTAAAATTACAAAAAAATTAGCTGGGCGTGGCGGTGTGCGCCTGTGAGCTATTCGAGCGGCTGAGGTAGGAGAACCTCTGGAATCTGAGAGGCGGAGTTGACAGTGAGCCGAGAACATGCCATTGTGCTCCAGCCTGGGGGGCTGAGCGAAACTCTGTCTCAAACAAACAAACAACAACAGCAACAAAACAAATTCCATATAACTATCTTGGGTGCACAGACCGAGCCACCGAGATTTCTTGCTCCTCATTTTTCTCTTCTCTGGAATGGGAATGATTATAACAACTCACAGGCTAGACACATGATGGTTAACGAGCTAATGTACATAAAACACTTAGATCAGAACCAGGCATTACATAAGCATCTAATATTCTTATTACTGGGTCTCCCATTTTGCAAAAGTTTGGGATCATCCTGTTTGAGAGCCCGAGGGGCCAGAGATAGCCCATCTGCAGAAATAAAATGATTAAGGGTAGCTAATGGACACCAGATGGGCATCTGACAGCCCTGCTGTCCTATGGTGGGCTTGGGACATCCCATTTTGTACTCTACACATATAAGATGTCACGCCTGGAGAAGTGAAGGACGAGGGAACTCTCATATGGAGCCCAGGAAAATAGGCCATATTCTTTGAGGAGCACTGAGGTTATAGGGCCTTCTTTGGGGAGCACAAAGTGCTGGAGATCTCATATGGGTGATCAAATATATGACGGCCCAAATGGGCTCCGGGGAGTCAGGGGAGAACGAGGTTTCATCCAGGTCCCAAGAGGTACAGAATATCCCTCTGGTGTAAGTGCAAGCGGTGGCATGTCCTATCAGGGAGGTATGGGACAGCTTTCCGGACTCCCCGGGGTAAAACAGCCACTATTTGGGAAAGTGAGGAGTATGGGAGTGTGTCTCAGAGAAAATGAGAAAGGCTGAAATATCCAGTCTGGGCATGTGGAGGCACGAGGACAAGAAGTGAAGAACATTGCAGGGAAGGCACAAGGTCTGGCCTGGGCCGTCGGGCGGTGTCTGGTGAGAGCTTGGTTTGGTGGAAGCCGTTGGTGGGGAACAGGCATAGCTTCTGCTTTGGGGTGGGCGTCTGTCTCCCCCGGCTCACAGGATGGGAGTGCAAGCTGTCTCCAGGCTGGGAAGAGGAAGCTGACACCAGGAGCCCAGGCTGCCTCTCCAAGGGCACAGGCTGTGTGTGGGCACATGCAGAGTGGGCACAGGCTGTCTCCAGGGTGCAGGCATTTCCAGAGGGCACAGGCTGCCTAGGGTGGGCACCGGCTCTCTGAGGACACCAGCTGTGTCTGGAATCACAGGCTGGGTCTGGGGACACAGGCAAGGTTTTTCTAGGGACACAGGCTGTCTCTAGAGCCATAGACTGGCCTGGGGGGGGACCCAGTGATGACTAGGAACACTGGCGGTGTGGGTGCAGGGTCTTTGGGGGGTCACAGAATTGTCTGGAACCATAGCCTCGTCTGGAACCACAGCCTCATCTGGAGGTGCAGGCTGATCTGAGGGCACAGGCTGGTGGAAGCATGCAGGCTGGTCTGGGGGTACAGACTGTTCTAGGGGAGCATGGAGACTGTAGTTGGAGACAGGCTGATTGGGGGTACAGGATAGTTGGGGTATAGGATGGTCTTGGGACACAGACTTTGACAATACAGAATGGTCTTGGGGCACAGGCTCTCTTTAGAGGCACAGAAGAGGGGTACAGCCTCGTCTGGGCGGGTCTCAGGTCACAGCCTGGTCTAGGGGTACAGGATGGCCTGGGGCATAGACTCCCTGCAGGCACATTCTGGTCTTGGGGTACAGTCTGTAGCAGGAAAGCAAGCTCTAAGGCACAGGTCCTCTGTGGGTAAGCCAGTTAGGGGCCTAGGCCGTGTCTGGGAGCGCTCTCTCTCTCTCTGTCTCAGATCTCTCTCTCTTTCAGCAGTTTCTGAGAGCAGAGGTCACTGCCGCTTACTGGGGTGCAAGCTCTCTCCTCGGGCTCAGGCTTTCTCCTGGGACACGGGCCCCTCTCCCTCCCTGTCTCCCTGGGCTCAGTGGGGCTGCCGCTTACCTCCGGGCAGCTCCGCAGGGCCGCAGGTCTCCCTGCCCGCGGGCACGTCCGCCTGCCACAGCCGCTTGGTGCACACCTTCCAGAGCCCCAGGTGGGCCGCCTCGCACACGGCGCTGCCGTTGGCCTTGTAGGTGTTGAGCTCCACCCAGAACTCGGTGCCCACGGACAGCACTGCCAGCGTGGCGCCCACGGCGGCCAGCAGCAGCGCCAGCTTCACCTTCCCCTCGCGCTCGGGTGTCAGCCCCGACCCGAGCTGCCCTTGTGCCCGCCGCCGGCCTGCGGCCCCCCGCCGCCGGTTCTCCTCTTGCAGGAAGAAGTTGGACCACATCATCATCTTCTGGCCGTGGGGTCGAGAAGCGGGAGGAGGCAGAGCCGAGGAGAGGCCTCCAGGGGCGGGAGCGGGGAGCGGCCTGGGGTCTTGAAGGGGGTGAGGGACTCAGTTTCCCCTGGGTATGAAAGAGGGAGAGCCGAGTCCTCTCTGGAACCTCAGATGGGAAAATCGAGATTGCCTCTGGGCTTCAGAATAGAAAAACGATCCCCGGGTCTGGGGAAGCTTCTGGGGTTCAGAGGAGGGTCTAGGCTGCCCTTAAGAACTTGGCCAAGAAGATGGGGACCAGAGGAAAAGCAAGCCCCCCGCCCCAGGCTTACAGATGGAGCCTGGGTTCCCAGGAGGGGTGCCCCCAAGAGCTCCAGAGGAAGAACTGGTGCCAGCTGAAGCTCCTTGCAGCTCCCAGGGGCTGCTTTGGGGTCCCTGCTGAGAGGTTCACAAAAGGGAAACTGGTTTTCCTGAGAGATCTGAGCACCCCCACTAGGGCTAAGAGTGTGGGGAACCCAGGAAGGGGACCTGAGGTCCTCTGTGTATTTGCAGGAGATGTGGCTTGGGTTCCCTTGGGCTTAGAGTTTGAGAAGAGAGGACTTGGGGACACTCTGGGATTCGGAAAAGGAAGACCTGGGGTCCCGGGAAGCTCCCAAGGGGAGGTGGGAATTCTCTCCGGGTCTCGGAGAAGCAGTGGGACCCCGGCATCCACAGAAGGTAAGAATGGAGCCCTGGCTGCAGCTCAGAGGAGGACCAGGCCCCGCTGGAATTCAGGAAAAGGGAATGGGAGTCTCCCCGGCCATTCAGAAAAGACCCGCGGTCTCTGCCGAGGCTGGGAAAGGGCCTGGTGGCTGGAAGACAGAGTGGAGTCCAGAGACGGAGGCTGAGGGGCCTCCCTGAGGGCTCAGGGTGGGGGTGGGTCCCCGCTGGGGCTCACACCAAGGGGCTGTGGTCCCCGCTGCACCTCAGAAAACCCGGACGGAGGCCATCCCCCCGCGGTCCAGAGGCCCCTTGGGATCGGTCCGCCTCCCTCCCCCGGGCTCCCAGGGCCTTCCCAGCCGGGTCCGCGCCAGGCTCAGCTCCAGGCCAGGGCCCCCCCGGGGCTCCCACCCCCGACTCCCGGGCCGGGGGCCCCCTCGCTCTCCTGCCTCGGCTCCGCGCCGACCCCAGGTCCGCGCTGCCTCCGAAGCGTCCGGCCCTGCCCGCCACGGCCACCGCCACCGGCCTGGACTCAGTCCGCCCCCCACCCCCACCCTCCACCCTTCGGGCTATTTCGGGCTTGACCCGTAAATAACACCCGCACCTGTCGCCGGGCGCCTGTTGCCATAGGGATCCCGGGTATTTTAAGGGGATGAAGCGGGAGGAGGGAGACAGCCCTGGGAGGAGGGGCTGGGGCCGGGTCGAAAAGGCCCCGTCTGATGGGACTTTCATTTCCCAAAGGGACAAGAGCGGCGCCGAGAGTCCCAGCTCACCAGTCTCCTGGGCAGCAGCAGACCAGTGGGGCAGTCTCACTGGGGTTACCAGGGAGTGGGGGCGGGAGGCAGGACCCAGGGACTCAGGGAGGAGGGGCTGATACAGGGAGTCTTGGGGCCCTGAGGGAGAAGCAGCCTCGGTACCCCAAATTATGAGTGGTAGAGGAAGGGGCCTTAGTGCCCAGAATCTTGGATCTGAGGCAAGAGGAACCTGGTCTCCTGGGTTCTGGACTCCTGGGTCTGAAGGTGGAGGGGCTGGGGGCCTGGACTCCTGGGTCTGAGGGAGGAGGGGTTGGGGTCTGGACTCCTGGGTCTGAGGGAGGAGGAGGGCCAGGGAGCCTGGACTCCTGGTCAAGGGATTGGCAGACCCAGACTCCTGGGCCTGGGGGAGGAAGAGACCTGGGCCACAACCCCGGGTCTGGAAGGATGGAAGGGCTGATTCCCATGTTGGAGAAAGTGCAGGCCTCAGGGAGGGGCAGCTGTCAGGGTGCAGAATGAAAGCAGCACTCCTCTTCATCGAGTTTATTAGACGGGGCACCCCTGGGGGATCTTCCATGCAGCTTCAGCTCCCCCAGGGGCAGGGACAGAGGACAGCCATGTGGCATGGCAGCAGGGCCTGATCTTCAACCCCTCACCCCCTACCCCTCAGCCCTTCTTCGGAGGGTCCAGGTAGGACCCACATTTCACCAACTCCTTCTTCTCCCACAGTTGGCTGCTCCAGGCCAGGCCTGGTTCCTGGCCCGAGCTAGGCTCTGGTGCACACCGGTCCTCTCTGTCCACCCCCTGCTCTGGACTTTCCTGATGGAGCATGTGTTTCCCTGCAATGTGATTGTCGATGTCTAGTTCTCCCAGCAGACTGGGGCAGGGGCTGGGCACAGGAGGAATTCACCTTGGCATCCTCAGCTGTACCCGGCACAGGTCCAGGTCACAGGCAATCTTGGAAAATGTGCACGGGGTGAGTTGAATGAATGGATGGATGGATGAGCAAAGGAATGACCAGAGGAAGTGACGGGGCGGCACACAGAAATCCCCGCCCCAGCTATGGAAGGGGCCTGCTGCGTTTCTTCAATGCCTGCCTGGCCGGTCCCCCCCTCCAAGGGCAGAGATGGAATAGAGGTGGCTCTGAGATTGCAGAGCCTGGTACTTGGAAGTCCTCAGGAAATATTTTGTTATTTTTATTTCTTTTTCTTTTTTTTTTCCTTGCTCTGTGGGCCAGCCTGAACTGCACGGGTGCAATCATAGCTCACTGCAACCTCAAACTGCTGGGCTCAAGCAATCTTGCCGCCTCAGCCGCCTGAGTACCTAAGACTGCAGGTGTCAGCCACCATGCTGCAGCTAATTTTTTATTTTTGTAGAGACGGGGTCTCACTGTATTGCCCAGGCTGGTCTCAAGCACCAAGCCTCAAGCAGTCCTCCTGTCTTGGCCTCCCAAAGTGCTAGGATTACAGGCATGAGCCACTGCCTGGCCAGGATGTATTTCCAAGAACTGAATGAATGCTTATTTCTGAAAATGAATGATGAAAACCTGTTCTTCCCCTTCACCTCACGAGGTCTTGACAGGGTCTACAGGGGGAATCCCAGAGCATGCCTGGCGCTGACAGCAGCAAGAGGCAGGAGCCGGGCAGAGCGGCCTGGGCTAGGGGATCTGCCAGAGCCTCGCTGACGGCATCCTCTCTTCCCTGCCCCAGATTTGTCTTCCCCTCCTGGCCCTGGGCCTCCCCATCTCTCTGGCTCCTGCCTGTGGTGACAGCTAATTGCAGGGTGCATTTTTCTGCCTTCTATCTCCCTATCTCCATTTCTCCCTGTTTCCTTTCAGGGTCATTTTTTTTTTTTTTTTTTTTTTTTTGTTTTTTTTTTTTTTCTTGTTACCCAGGCTGGAGTGCAATGGCGCGATCTCGGCTCACCGCAACCTCTGCCTCCTGGGTTCAGGCAATTCTCCTGCCTCAACCTCCTGAGTAGCTGGGATTACAGGCACGCGCCACCATGCCCAGCTAATTTTTGTAGTTTTAGTAGAGACGGGGTTTCACCATGTTGACCAGGATGGTCTCGATCTCTTGACCTCGTGATCCACCCGCCTCGGCCTCCCAAAGTGCTGGGATTACAGGTGTGAGCCACCGTGCCCGGCCTTTTTTTTTTTTTTTTTTTTAAACTTTCCTTTTTTGAGACAGAGCCTCGCTGTCACCCAGGCTGGAGTGCAACGGTGTGATCTCAGCTCACTGCAGCCTCTGCCTCCCCGACCCAAGTGATGCTCCTGCCTTAGCCTCTCAAGTAGCTGGGCCTACAGGCACCCACCACCACGCCTGGCTAATTTTTGTATTTTTGGTAGAGATGGGGTTTCACCATGTTGGCCAGGCTGGTCTCGAACTCCTGACGTCAAGTGGTCCACCCACTTTGGCCTCCCGAAGTGGTGGGATTACAGTCCATGAGCCACTGTGCCCAGCCTCTGTGTCAGTTACACACACACACACACACACACACACACACACACACATTGCCTGAATTCCCTTTCCCTCTGCCTTCCCCCAAAATTCTCTCTCCCCTCCGCTCCAGCAGGGCTTCCGTCTCCACCACTGCGCTGAACTGGCCTCTTATCAAGATCACCAACCCCATCCACGTCATTAAACCTAATGGTCACTCTGCTCTCTGGATCCTTCTCCGATTCTCAGCGGCACTTGGCACAGCCAGCTGTCTCCTCCCCTTCTTGAAACACCAGCGTGCATTTGTCCTTTGTGACCCTCCTGGTTTCAGCCTACCTCGCCATCCCTCCTAAGCTCACTTTGCTACACTGGCTTCCTCCCCAGAGGCAGATGTCCCTGAGGCTCTGGCCAGGGTCCTTCTCTGTCCCCACTCACCTGCTGGGTCATGTCACACAGTCCTGTGGCGTTAAATGTCCCCTACATGCTGACGTTTCCAAAACTTACAATTTTGAGCCGTGACCTCTCTTTCCCCAAAACTCCAGTCTCACATATCCAACCGGCTATTTGATACCCCAACTCGGATTTCTCGAAGGCGTCTCTAACTCGACACATCCAAAAGAGAAGCCGTGGTTTGGCCCTCCCAAAGCCTCTTCCCTGATCCCAGTCTTCTCTCTCCTGTAAACAATACTCATCAGCGCCCATCAGAGATGTGCATGTCCAATTTCAAACAGTTCTCTTCCTGGTTCCTTTTCCTTCCCTCTCCTGTGACATCCAGTTCACCGCCACTGCAGGCTCTGCCTCCAAAATCCCACGCCCTTCTTCCACTTCTTTTTCTTTTTTTTAAAGACAGGGTTTCACCATGACAGCCAGGCTGGTTTTGAACTCCTGACTTCAGGTGATCCACCCACCTCAGCCTCCCAAAGTGCTAGGATTACAAACGTGAGCCACTGCGCCTGGCATATCTCTTTCTCCACCCCACTAACTCCACCGTGGTCCAGGCCTCTAGCAGCCTCAACCAGAGGAAGGCAACAGCCGGCTACCCCCTCCATCCACTTCGACTCCTGAGGTCTACGTATGCTCAGCACAACGATGTGATTCTGCTGTTCTTGTTTAAATAAAAACGTGAAGCTGGGCGCAGTGGCTCACGCCTGCAATCCCAACACTTTGGGAGGTCGAGGCAGATGGATCATTTGAAGCCAGGAATTCGAGATCGGCCTGGCCAACATGGTGAAATCCCGTGTCTACCAAAAATACAAAAACATTAGCCGAGTATGGTGGCACATGCCTGTAATCCCAGCTACTCAGGAGGCTGAGGCAGGAGAATCACCTGAACTTGGGAGGTGGAGGTTGGCAGTGAGCCAAGATTGGCCACTGGACTCCAGCCTGAGACACACAGCAAGACTCTTTCTCAAAATAAATATAAATTAAAAAATAAAAATATGATCATGACATGCCTGTGCTCAAAACCCACTGAGGGCTTCCCATCAGATCTAGAATAAAATTCAGATTTCTTCCTGGGGTCCACGGCCCTAACTGATCAGCCCCTACCCTGTGCTTCTGACCCATGCTCGATCCACTCATCGCACCGGCCCCCTGGAAGACCTGCTGCTCCTCAGGGCTTTGGGGCTGCCTCTGCGGGGCAAATGCCTGGCCCCAGACTTTCTCACCTCTTCCTTCTCACAATCCATGTCTCTGCCACAAGGTCTTCTCGAAGCACCTCATCTAAAGTCGCCCTTGCCCTGTCATTCTGTTACTATTCACTGCTCTTAATTTTGGGGATTTGAGATGGAGTCTCACTGTTGCCCAGGCTGGAGTGCAGTGGTGCGATCTCAGCTCACTGCAACCTCTGCCTCCCGAGTTTAAGTGATTTTCCATCCTCAGCCTCCCAAGTAGCTGGGACTACAGGCGCACCACCACGCCTGGCTAATTTTTTATATTTTGGTAGAGATGGGGATTCACCAGGTTGACCAGGCTGGCCTCGAACTCCTGACCTCAAGTGATCCACTGGCCTCGGCCTCGAAAAGTGCTCGGATTACAGGTGTGAGCCACTGCACCTGACCTCCTAGCTTAATTTTTAGAGCACTTTTCAGTTACTGAACTATTATTTATTGTTTATCTCTCCAGTGAGTGTCAGGAGAGCAGGCCCTTGTCCGTCTGTTGCCACATCCACTGGGCCTAGACTGGGTCTGGAGCAGGTTGGCACTCAATATTCTTGAAAACTGGGGAAAAAACAGAAGAAATGGATCGTTCCTTGGCGCTATGCTTGCTTCTGAGTATCCATGTTGCTTTTTGTGTGAATCTCTGAGGGTTTTTTTTTTGTTTGTTTGTTTGTTTTTGTTTTTTTGAGATGGAGTTTCGCTCTTGTTGCCCAGGCTGGAGTGCAGTGGTGCGATCTTGGCTCACTGCAACCTCTGCCTCCTGAGTTCAAGTGATTCTCCTGCCTCAGCCTCCCAAGTAGCTAGGATTACAGGAATGTGCCACTACGCCTGGCTAGTTTTGTATTTTTAGTAGAGATGGAGTTTCAATATGTTGGTCAGGCTGGCCTTGAACTCCCAACCTCAGGTGATCCACCTGCCTTGGCCTCCCAAAGTGCTGGGATCACAGGCATGCGCCACCACACCGGGCCATCTCTGAGTCTTTCTCCAGCTTCCCTCTCCCCCTCTGTCTCTATCTCTGGGGCTTCTCTGATTTGTGTGCCTGTCAGTCTCTCTCCTCCTTTTCTCTCTTTTCTGTATCACCTTCCTGTCTTTTACTTTTTCTGTGGGACTCCACTAGTTTTGGTCTCTGCTGCCCTCCCCCTCCTCCCCTGCACTCCCTCCTCCCCATCTCGCTCTTCCTACTGCCCACCTTCCACCTCTCTCTCTCATTCTGTTTGGCCTTCAGACTCTAGAATCCACTCTCCCCTAACCAGTCCTCTTCCAGCAAAGATTTACGCTATCTCTCTCTTTTTTGAGACAAGAGTCTCGCTCTTTTGCCCAGGCTACAGTGAAGTGATGCCATCACAGGTCACTGCAGACTCACCCTCCCAGGCCCAAGCGTCCTTAGCTGGGACATCACAGGTCACTGCAGACTCACCCTCCCAGGCCCAAGCGTCCTTAGCTGGGACTACGGGCATACGCCACCACACCCAGCTAATTTTTGTATTTTTGGTAGAGACAAGATTTCAACATGTTGGCTGGTCTGGAACTCCTGGGCTCAAGCAATCCACCTGCCTCAGCCTCCCAAAGTGCTGGGATTAGCAGCCACGCCGCCCCGTGATGATTCGTCTCTTTCAACGCCACCTCCCACATCCCTCGCCTCTCCAGGTATCCTCTCTCAGTGCTTCTCTATCTCAATGATTGGTATTCCTTTTCCTGTGTTTCCCAGCATCTCTTCCCCAAACTGCCTTGGCGGAATTCTTCCTAGAGACCTTGACCTTCAGTCTCTCTCTTCCTGGTCCTTCCACACAGGCCTCGGAGAGAAATTCTGAACACTCAGCTCTGACCTGAACCCCCCACAGCCCCATATGCTCAAGATAAAGGCCGGCACAGCCCCTGGCACCCTGGCACCATCGCTGCCACCACCCTCCTCATGCTGCGTCTGTGGCTGTTTTCCCACCAGACTGGGAGCCCCTCAAGAGAAGGGCAAGATGAAAATCACCTCTAGAATCCCAGCACCGCCCAGCACAAGGCCTGGCACAGGAAATATGTGCTAAGCAAACATGGAAGGGAAACCTACTGAGCACTGTCCCCTTTACTTTCTCAGTGACCTTGAAACCCATCCCCTCCTCTCCACCCCAGCTCGACTGTCATCCCTCTCGCACCATCCTTAGAATCAAGCCTCAATCCCTCCACCTGGAACTCAGGCACCTTTTTCTCTTGTCTTTCTGAAACAGGGTCTCATTCTGCTGCTCAGGCTGGAGTGCAGTGCCACAATCCTAGCTCACTGCAGCCTTGAACTCTTGGGTTCAAGTGATCCTCCTGCCTCAGGCTCCTGAGCGGCAGTGACCACGGGTGTGCTCCACTACGCCCGGCTAATTTTTTGATGTTTTGTGGAGACAGAGTTTCGCCATGATATCCAGGCTGGTCTCAAACTCCTGGGCTCCAGATTCAGCCTCCCGAAGTGCTGGGATTACAGGCATGAGCCACTGTGCCTGGCCACACTGGCACCTTTAGACTCTGGCTTGTGGCTACTTTCCCAGTCTCATCTTCCAGCCCCACCTTGTACATGAGCATCCCAGAACTATTAGCACTGACCCCAGTACGTCATGTTCATTCTCTTTCCCAGGTTTTCACCCAAGTTGTTCTTTGGTCCCACAAGTCTTTCTTATGCCTTTCATCACCCGGAAGACACTCACTCATCTCTTCAAGACCCAGGATGGCCATCCTATTCTCCAGGAAGCCTCTCCCGAGTGCCGCCCACTCCTGGCAGTTGACCACTCTGTCCAGCAAGTGCCATGGCACCCATTGTGGTCCCTGTTCAGCATTGATTGCCCTGACTGGATGGCAGCGTTTGATGCTTAAGAGCAGGGCTAGGGTCTGTTTCACCCCTGCTCTGGGGATCTGGATCCTCACGCACTTCCTGGTACCTTAGCAGATACTCGAAAATGGCAACAGGCGAGTGGCTGAATGAATGAATGAATGACACGAGTCCCTATGCCTCAGGGTTTCTTCTGCACAACAGACACCATCCCTGTGCTTCAATGTGTGTGTAATGATGTGCTTCCTCCCATGAAAGCGTGAGCTCCAAGGGCCAGTGCCTGGGTTTGATGCTGTATTTCAGCACATCTCTGCCTCTTACTCTTGCCTCCAAGTTCCTGTCTTCTTTTTGTACACCATTCACATTAGGCTCCTGCTTAAACCCATTTCACAGCGCTCACTGCCCCTAAAATAAAATCTAGACTCCTGACCGACCAGCCCCTGTATAATCTGGCCCTGTCTGCGTACCCAGCCTCATCTTGTTCCACAATCACCTGGCTCACAGGCTTCAGCCCTGGCTGCAAGCTCCTTCCTGCCTCAGGGCCTTTGGACCTGCTGCTCTGCCTGCCACACTCCACTCCGGCTCTGCCCTGCCAGCTTCTTCTCATCCTTTCAGTGTCCACTGAAATCTCTGCCTCTCAATGGGGTTAGGCTGCCCTGATGGAGCATTTTGTAGCATCTCGTTTCTCCTATGGCCTAACTGTAATTTGTTGTGTATGTACATGACCGATTAATGCGTCTCATGCACAAGATGTTATTCTATGAGGATTCGGGGCCCCTGGCTGCTTTCCTGCCTCCTGCAGGCTGAGCAGGGAGCACAATGCCTAGCTCTTTAACGCGCACAAATTCACCTCCGGTAATGAATGAATGAAGAGGCCCTTTCTGTGCATCGTTCGTGTCCCCTGCTCCAAGGTCGCCTTATGTACCAGTGCCTAGTACACAGTAGGCGCTTAATAAGCCCTTGTGGAGTAATGAATGAAAAAAATGAATGAATGCCCGCGTCCAACCCTTCTCTCTGCTTTTCCGCGTCCATTCGCTGTGTCTCTTTATATAGGGCATATATATAGTTTGTGGATGTAACTATGTATTCGTGTGTTATGGGCCCCTCTCCAGGAGTTGGGCTGGGCTGGGCTGGGAGTCCCTCCCTCCCCTCCCCCCGCCCCGCCCCCATGCACACAGCAAAACGTGAAAAAGAAAACATCTCGAAACTGCAAAAAACACCATGGCCCTCCCCCCCTCCCCATAGATCCCACAGAAAAATAAAACACAACGCTCCCTCACGGCGGCCCCCTCCCTCCCCTGCCCCCTCGCTCGGGGTTCCTGCTGCGGAGGAGGAGAGGGGCGGGAAGGGGGAACGGGGGCGGGCCCAGCAGTCTCCAGCGCGCTCACGGGGGACAGCGGGGGCGCCCCCGACCCCGGCAGCCTCGATGCACGCGCGCCCGCGCACGCGCCCCGGACACACCCCTCGGCTCCCCCGCCGCGCCCCTACACGGGCGTGGTTTTCCTGTTGAGCGTGTTGGTGTTGGAGGCGGCGGCCTCCTTGGCCAGGGTCCCGGGGGCGGGCGCGGGGGGCGCGGGGGGCGCGGGGGGCGCGGGCGCGGCGGGCGGCCCAGTGACCGTGACCGTGACGCCGCCGCCCGCCTCCTTGGGGAAGGCGTTGTGCAGCGTGAGGAAGCCGGACGCCCCCCCGCGGTCCCG